CAAGTAGAGGAGTGAGACGGTTACACGTCGCCACATCTCCGCGCCTATCATACTCGCCACTGGCCAGGTATCGTGGAACTGAATTCGAGGACTGAAAGAATGTTTCTACCGGTGGTAGACTGTGGGGTGCCGGGAGCACTTTGGCCAGAGGTGGTAAAGCGGCCAGCAGGGAGGAAATAGTCTTCTCCCTCAATGGTGACAGAGTCGGTGCGTCGATGACCAGAGCGGGGAGGGCGGTCACCGGCGGAACTACTAGGGGCACTGCTGGAGCGTTGGGATACAGGGCGTTGGAGAGTGGGAACAGGCGCAAGATCTGTTGTGGGGCGGAGGTTCGGGGATGAGTTTGAGGAGTTGGTGCCTGATTCTGTGATAAAACATGTTAGGCGAGGATCACCTAGTCTGAAAAGAGAAAGGGGGCTGAATGGCATTATGACGTACTTTTGAGGATACCCTTTCTAACTGCGGCCAGCACCTCAGCGCGTTCCTGGTCGCCGCCGAAGATGCTCTTTCTGGCATTTCGATCTGCATTTCCACTAGCATCCGACTCAACAGACCGTCGCTCTGATGCAATCTCTTGCCTTGCGACGCTAACCTCAGGGAGAACTGGGGGCCCTTTGCCGACAGCATCCCGCTGGGCTTCCACTGTTACCATGGAGACTTGCGGGACGGGAGCAGCAATCCTGGACGTGTCTGTGGGTGTGTTATAGACAGATTTGGGGCGGAAAAGGCCAACGAGAGACCTTGTAGATCGTTTGACGCCATTGCCCATTTTGCGGAGCATGATGGACGCGGACGAGGCGGTAGAAGAGACTGATATGTTATCAGTAGAGCCAGTGAAGATGTTGCCCTGACCAGAGTAGATACTCTCGCCTAGCCCACCGGCCTCTTGCTTGGCCGCAATGGCAGCTTGCTCGGGACCCAGCTCTTCATCAAGCTGTTGTTTACGGGGAGCGCTGACAGTTGGCTCGGGAGTGGAGATACCACGAAGTTCCGCAACACTACTGAACGAAAGGGCACGCCGTAGTCGTGACTTGCTTCCCTTTCCTTGGCCCTTCTTGGATATCTCGATAAGGCGTTTGGCCGCAGGGCTTGGGGTGTCAGTAACATTTGGTGTCTGGTTTCTCGTTTCAGATGTGGGTTTGGAGGACGTCGTGGGCATTAAAGTCTCATCAGTATCAATATTAACTGGCTTGGATAATGGAGATGGAGTGCTCGAACGCTTTGGAGTGTCCGCAGGACGAGCGATCGAGGCAGGGGTTGTTTTTTTTGTTGGGTTGGGAAGTGGAGGTTTCTGTTCCCTTTTCAGATTTCACCTATGCCATTGTCAGTATCGGTTATCGAGCAGAGACAATTGTGAGGAGTACGTACTGAACCGGAAGAGGAAGTGACGGAGGCGGAATCGGCAGCGTTTGGTGGTGGGGGTGTGCCACTCAGGGGGAATTCAGAGAGAGCCATCTCATTTGCATGGGGAGAGGGGTGAGAGTCGGGAAAGTTGATGAATCCAACAGTTTCGATGCTACCCATGCTCCTGCGCCGGTATCGCTTCGCGAGTTCGGTGCTAGAAGGGCTGGAATCATCCGTCACGGCAGCATCCGCGCTGGCTCCGCGGGTATGGCGTGCAGTTTGTGTGCGTGGTTTACCTGGGATGTCGACGATTGAAGGAGTGAGAGATTTGGCAGCCTGGGCCGTTGTCATGCCAATGTTGTTGTTGAGCAGGCCCAGAGAGCTAGAGGCATTGGGTTCTGTAGTAGTGACGGGGGAGGAAGCCTGGTCTCCACGGCGTTGACCACGGCGATATCTGTCCGGAGACGGTTTGCTCGGCGTTGAAGCTGCAGGAAGGGACGCAGGAAGAGTGAGATCGATCGCAGAAGCAGGGCGAAGACTCAGCTCGGAGGTGCCTTGGCGTCTGGGAAGCGAGGAGTCGTCCTTGGAGAGATGTGAATGAAAGGAAGAATTAGAGGAAGGTGAATTGGATACTGAATTGGATACCGAGCCAGCAGTAGAGAAGTGAGTGCGTGGAGGGATGGTTCCAGGGTAGAGAGTGTTTTGGTTCTGATTCTGATTTTGGGTTTGGGGTTGGGTTTGAGCCTGAGTCTGTCGTTGGACGTTTGCAGCTGGACTGCCACCAACTGGCAGCCCAGGAGTGGTTGTGAAGGCGTATGGGGCAACTGGCTGGGTCATTCGGTAACCGGTAGGGGCAGAGGGCCCATTTCCGCCGCTGTATGAAGGGCGGGTGTGATTCTGATTCCGGGCCATTTGGGTCTGGTTCTGAACTTGCGACTGGTGCTGTATGGGGGTAGTGAAGGAGGATGAAGACGCAGGACGGGATTGCAGCAAGGTAATGGTGCCGGCTTGCTGTGGAATCGTTTGGACCAGTGCGGCCATGTTGTAACACTATGGTATCAAAATGGGAGTGGTGGTTGTAGGGTGCGATAATCCGGGAGGAGGAGGGGGGGTGAAGGATCAGATAGATCTGCCCATGAGGAAATAGAGACAAGAGGACTAGGGCGGTGCTAGAACGTATGGAAAGGAAGAATGGTCCGTTGGTGGTTTGCTGGTAGTTTGAGGGCGGTTTTGTTGGCCGAGTGCAAAAAGTCTCTGGGAGAAGAAAGTCGTTAGTTTTTTGAGGCTGTTGCTATGACGCGAGAGAGGACACGTCTTGGCCGGATTTCAGCAACCACAACTCCACCGAACGTCAAATGTAGAGAGAGTTACGAAGCTGTGGAGAGAGAGAGAGAGAGAGTGGACTCACCTGGGGAACGAGTAGATGATAGCTGAAAAAAAGAAGACAAGCAGGAGAACCGTGGTGGAAAGACGCTGGAAGAAGCCGTAGAGTGCTGAAACAACAAGACAAAACCAAACAACAATATAGAAGAGGGAGGGAACCGATCAAGATGTCGAGCCGGACAAGGTATTCCAGAGGTCTAAGTCCACCAAAGCAATAAAAAACATGTACTGGAAAAGAAGTAAAAAAGAAAAAGGGCGTTGGAGAGGAAGAGACAGGGCAAAGGACGGAGAGGAACCAGGGGAAAAGCAAAGAAGGGGGAAAGAGGAAAAGGGAAAAAAAAAGGAAAACGAGGAGCACCACCGCCTCAAAAAGGCTCCCCCGAGCGGGAGGGAAACGAGAGAGCAAAACGATGGACGCTGCAAACGAAAAAGGTGTCAACGCCAACACAACGACTGGAAGAAGAAGAAGAAGAAGAAGAAGAAGAAGAAGAAGTTGAAGTCGTTTTTTTTCTGCCCTTTTTTGATAGAACGAAACAAAAGGCGGCGAAAGGAGGGAGAAAGGGAAGAAGTTGGCCAATCAGAGGACGAGGATGTAGATGACTAATCTTGAAGGACGAAAGTAGTAGTGATCAACATGAATATAGCGTTATCATTGGTTGATGTGATTAGTCATGGTTTACGTATGCTAGTAAGATGATGAAGACGAGAATAAGAAGAGAGGATAGAAGAGGAGATGAGAAGACGGAAAAGAAGAGAGCTAGAGAGAGCTAGAGAAGGAGATGGGAGAGAAGAGAGATCGGGAGATGAGGGCGAGATGAGGCGAGGTGGAGGCCCCTATGGGGATATACAAGATGCGATGCTCTGCTCCGTACACCGTCGAAGAGGATAGCAGAAGAGACCAGTAAGAAGTGTATGCTGGATGAGGATTGTCTTCTCGAGGTTATGTCTTGGTCGTTCCTCTGTATTCAAGACATCTCGAAGCTTATCCGGAGCTGTGTCGGATATGAATATCCCCTTCGCTCCCCATTTATATACACACATATATACACACATAATATACTCTGTATATATATACTCCGTACGCTCCACTTCAACAGTGCTGTTCCTCTTCCTACCTCATCTTCTTCAGCTTTATCGACTTCTTCGTCGACTTCTGCCCTTCTCCGCGATCACATCGAACTCCAGGACAGGGGCAGGACAGGCCCGAGACACGACAACCGCAGAAGGAATAGCCATAAGCGATCCCACACGCAAGCCTTCTTTTTTCTTCTTTCTTGACCTTTTCTTTTCCCTCCGCCCCCCAGGGATGATGATGGCTCATCATAAGATCATCCGGACGCCCCTACTTGACTCCACCTTCTGATCTTAACATGATGCAAGCAATTTAACTTAGGCTAGCGCCGTGTCTCAACCCCTAGCTAGTTCTCTCCTCTCTTTTTTATCCCCGTTACCTGCATATTCGAGGGGGAGCCCAGAGTTCGAGCGGCAGTCGAAAAGATAAGAGCCTTGGGGAGAACGTCTCGTCTGCTTCCGATACGTATCCGTACGCATAACCGCAGAGTGTATAAATACAAACTCATTTCCTTGCGGGTCGATGCTTTTATCCATAAGTGCCCTGATCAGCATAGGTTCTTCTGGTTCGGTTGCTGGTCGAGCATGCGAACCTGTGGAGACCCCAAGACGTGCATTGTATAACTCGCTCCTTCGCTCACGGGCACATACACACACAAACCCATTCTCTCCCAGAGGATACGAGGGCAGTTGTCTCAGCTTCGCCCCAAATTCATGCCCACCACAACAACAACGCCTGACCTCCCCCTCTTTTTTCTTTCGCTTGCCTTGATCTTCCCCTTTTGTAGATGTTGTAACCCCGTAACTCATGCATAGATATTGGCCTCCAGTCTTCCCACCGCCTTCTTCTTTGTTGCTCGCTGAACGTATCGGAACGCTCTACCGGCCACCGAGGCGTGATTGGTCTCGCTCGTCCCTTCACTTCAGCTAGTTCCTGCTTGCGAAGAAGCCAAAAAAAAAAAAGCAACCAGCAGCGCATGTAGTGTACATGTATGCAGAGAGCCATACATAGTATGTACGCACTCGGCTAGAGGGTTTGCTGAGATCCGCCGCGATGTGTTACATATACACACGCATTAAGAGTACATCAGGCTGCATAGGTAGGCCATATTCATATTCAGGAGTATCATATTATACGCGTCCTTAACTCTCCGTAATTAGGATGTGAAAAGTTACTTCGTCTCGATTTGTTTTGTTGCCTCTTTGGGAGTTTCCCTAATTATGTAATCGATAACGTCAAATGTCAGAGACTAAAAAAAGAAAACCATCTTGATAGTCAACATGGAAGAACATCTTTCATCAGCCTCGCATCTCTTCATGGATCATAGAGACATGATGGCCTGTTTTATGTATAAGGCAGATTTTGCATGGCTCCACAGATGTGGTAGATACCCACTGCCAGTGTATATGGTGTATATGTATACGTATATATATTCCTCCCTAAACACCCAAGGACGATTCTAACTTGCCGTTCTGATTATACCCTTTAGATGGCACCGGCTGTCATCAAGCAGGCCGAGTCCAAAGAAGATTTGTCCCAGCAATACCATGCAAGATGGTTCTTCCATCAACTGTGCCGCAAACTAGACCAAGGTCCAGCCGCGGGATGTCATCACAACAACAACACAGAGCTTGCTCTATGACAGTTAGAAGCGACTGGTGCTCTCAGCAGATAAAGAAAGGGGGGAAATAGACAGAGACTGTTAGTCACTAAACGACTTAAATTCACCACCCTGTTTCTTTCTTCAGACATTCATCTTCGTCTCTTGCAATATATTCACTCATCTTGCTTTACCGGCTAACTCAGCCTATCAACACTCATTCACGTCCATAAGTTATCATATATAAAAGATACGATCTCGCAGCATTCGACCCCCGACCTCTTTCCCAATGTGCAACGCGTTTTCGATCTTTTTCAAATGCGGGCACCTCGAGAACGCCCAGGGTATCCCGTGTGGAGGACCAGACTGTCCAGCCTCTTTCAGGCAGCTTACAAGCCATCAGGTCTGTCTAAACTGCGCTCCTTACGAGTACATGGACATGCGTCACGCGAACATGAACCAACCTGCCGTATATGATGACTTTCTGTTCGAACGAAACTTCGATATCGAAATGATCGACCCTGAAATCTACAATGGCATCGCGGGAGTTGATGAACGGAGCATCTCATTTGAGCAGCTAGAGAACTCCAACCCAAGCCGTCACCAGGGCATCCAGCTTGATATTCCAGCAGAGCTAGATGGTGGCATCCAGGGGCTCCAGATCGAGGCTCCACCTCGCCCTACCTTCATCTACCCTCCTCCTGTCAATCCGCTTTTCGGTTGGGACCACATGGGGCAAATCCACCAACACCCAAGCTACCAAGACTATGCACCCAGCCCAGAGGGGGAAGATGTTTCTTGCGCCCCTCAAGCTCCTGTCATGCCTTCTTCTTCTTCCTACAGGCCCTTTGGGGATAGTGACATGATAGCTGAGTACGCCACTCCTTCCCCCCCGTTTATGCCGTGGCTACGGAATAAAGCGGTCTTCAGCTCCGACGAATTCTCTGGCAGTGCACCACTAGCATCTAGACGCCCAAATCCACGTGAACTAAGTCCTACCCCTGGTACACGTGGCCATGAGACGTTTCTAGACGCAGCGTCCGCGATCTTGGACCTTCCATTGCCATGGCACCAGAATAATACCTTACGTGAATTCCTGGCTGAACATGAAGATGGAGATAGTTCTGAGGATGAAGATGAAGAGGAAATTGACCATTCGGTTCCCCAATTTGCGAAGATACGCCAGCCGAACTTTTTACGCGACGATTATGACGAGTTACCACCGCTGAAGGGCCTGGCCGCCTCGACTAGCGGCTATGCTAAGCTTGGCACCACTCAAAAGCCTACACCAGCCGATACCGAAGATGGCACTGCCAGTAAGTCTGGAACTGTTACCAGAACTTTTCCTGCCGTCAAATCCGGGCCTTACTCCCTTGCTCGCTCTAGTTGAGGCTATGTCTATGTCATACGCCAACTAGCTGTAACTCTCTAACTCATCAATTGCGATCTTCACTTGGTGGGAAATATGACAGCACTGTTTTGAGTATTCTGTGTACCAGGACATCGCCTAGGCGTGGCAAGATACTTGGTTTTTTCAATGCCATGTAGCTTTTCTTTCCTCTTTATGCTTCCCGCAATATTTCAGTTGTATACGATTTCTTTTCTGTATTTTTGTTTTTTAACCACCTGATGGGCGCAGGAGAAAAGGGTGGACATGAAAAGGAGCCAGATCATTCATCTTATGTTTCGTCGTTTGGAAGGAGAGGGAAAAATAGAAAACAAAATGGCCACTTGGTCGCTACATCTCTTGAGATATTGCTTTTACTTTTTGTCTTTTTTTTTTTCCTTTTTGAAATTTGTTCAAGGTGATGCATAAACTAATTACATAGTCTGATCACAACCTCAGTTAATCCCCTCCGTTTATTGGAAATCCTCATGGTATACTAATGACTTCTCAGGCCATATTGTCTTGCTTCTCGTTAGAGCTCATATCCGTACCCTCACCCACCGTAGACATATCATCATCAAGTCCCTCGAAAATCATAAACTTCTCATTCTTCGCGTCCGTCTCGTCTGGAACAATATTTCCATTTTGAACCTCACAGTCCTTTAGCACACAGTCTCGGCCAAGTTTGCTTCTTCGCCCAACGATACACCCGATCAGCTGGCATCGTTCACCAACGACGGCCCCATCCATCAGTAGACATCTAGTGAGTCGTGCGCCTGACGCGATATGACAGTTAGCTCCAATAATTGACTCCTTAATGATGCACTTGTCCTCTACTGTAACGTTTTCGGCAAGCAAGCAGTCAGATTTGGAAATTGTACAGCGCTGTGCGATTCCGGGTGGGTATGCAATCTTGTTAGTATGGGCTAAGGGAGAAATGGTAGTGTTGGGCGTGTGTGAATCACTGATGGCGTCTAGCTTTGCAAGGCGGAGCGAGATGGATAGTAGAAGCGCAGAGTTATCTACCCTTCGAATTAATGGCATGGAAGGCCTAGATGGAGCTACGTAGCCGAGGAGTGGTGGGGTATTTATTTTCTCGGCTGTGGTGGTTGACAAACCTTCGGCCTGGTCATCGGCGGCGTGGAAGCTGTTTGACAGACTTGTTGGGATCGTCCTCGACTGGATATCAAACTCGCGGGTTGACTTGGTGGTGCTCATGCTCATCAAGTCAATCTCTTCTTCAATGTGTCCACTGGAGCGGCTGTCTGTCTTTCCCTCTGAATCTTTATCCGAAGATAGGAGGTCCTGGATGCCGAGTTTGGCAGCCAGCCCCTTCTGCCAGCCAGCCTTTGCCCACCAGCCAAGCAGATCTTCACTAATGCTCTGGAATTTTTCATTCCTCAGGGCCATCTCCTTGACCCAGTACGGGAAAAAGTAGATGTGTGCATCACGATAGCCAGTCAGAATCTTGATCCGCCCGTGCTTCTTTAGCAGCGAGTACCGTATGAACAGTGCCTTTTTCTCTTCGATTGAGTCCTTCAACGTATCCATCGGCATTGTATATGCAACTCTGTGCAGGCCTGCGCGCACAGAAGCTGGAGTTGCGGGTGATCCCTGGACAGCGGGGGTTTCATCCCCGCTTAATGGGGCAGTGACAAGGAAGTCAGCAACCTCATCTTTAATTTTCTCCTCATTGGTGGGCAACGGGTACCAGACACCGAGACCTCCCCTTCGTCCCACTTTCTCTCCGGCGAGCCCTAGAAGACTAGATGATCCAGGTAATAGGGCCGAGCCATCGGCTGTCCCGTCTAGCGAGCCTTGCGTCATCATCCATGCTTCAAGGAGGGATTGCCCGGGCAAATCACATATTAGATCACAAGGTAGGACTATAAAGTCCGTTTTTATACACGCCTGGACCTCCGGTAGCCGAAGAAGCTCTGCAGTGCCCGTGGTCGGAGAAAGATCCGCTGGCGCGAGGAGTGTTGGCGTGGGGAACTGAATGGATGTGAGATGAGGATTTTGAGATAAAGCAGTCTTCATGACAGAGTGGCTGGTAGGCGATGTGATGAGGGTGATGTCTACACCGACGGGTAAGCAAGCAAACATAACATATACGCGGATGCAACATAACGAATCAAACGTTTCCCATGACTTAACGGGAACAGATGTAACATAAAACAGAAAATGACATGAAAAATAACGACCAGAAAACATAAAGGTAGTAAAGGGATATCCAAGATGTAGAGACGGCCGATGTTTAAACATCAGAGGGCAGGGGGAGACCTACTGGTAATACCTAGGCGATAGCACCAGTCCATGGGGTACCACACCATAGGCCGATTTGCAACCGGTACCAACGCCTTTGGAAATTCCTCTGGGATAGAAGTGAATGTGTTCAGCGAGGCTCCTGGCCCACAGAGGATCAAGGCCTGGAAGCCTGTCTGCGGCAAGCCTAAGTGCGGCATGGTGGCAGGCGTTTTTATCAGCGGGGTATCTTGTGCGATTGAGGAGGGATTGTGTATCTTGTTGATATAGAATTCCCCCTTCCTTCTTCCGTCAAGCAAATATCGGGTGAGGTATCTCTCAGCCTCGAGGAAATTTTCCCGGTAAAGCTGCTATGCAGTGAATCCCCCGGTGGGTGTAAGTCTCGAGTCTTTGGTTTGATATCGGCGATGGTTGATGTAGATGCGGGATGGTTAGAGCTTGAACAGTCCATGTCTTGCTCTGTTTCCAGTCCTGATACAGTCAACTAAACGAAGACAGGGCCCATTGTTGGCTCAAACGGTCTCTCTTTATATCATTCTTAATATCAACAGTCGAAAAATACTTTCACTCTCGTTCCTTTCTTTGCCTCATTTTTTGTTTCTTCTTTTGAGTCAACTTTTTTTTGGTTGGCTTAGTCATGCTATGATTAGTAATAAGACCACGCTAAGCTTAGTCATTAATTACATAAGCAAGAGGGTTACTAAGCCCAGCCACATGTCTTAGTGCTGACATAAGCAATATCCCGAGGTTAATTCGAACTTCTGCGAATCTTTTAATTCTGTTTACTTCAAGGCTTGCTTTTTGTTTACATGTTTATAACACGATCTAGCACACTGCACCTCCGTCGACACAGGGACCGCGATGCTTAGGAGCCACAGCTAGCTTCACGAGCAGCAGAGTGAAGTAAGCTGACACCACATGTCAGAATACAACCGCGGACGCACCTCAGGACGGTCGGCGCTGGGGTACTGGGTGCCGCTGGTGATCACTGTTGGAGTCGCGACAGCCGGACTCGCTGCCTGGGTCTGGAGCGAGCGCCAGAGCGATGATGACGATGAGGGACTGGGCTACCATGATGGTAATGCACCCATCACCCTGGAGCCGGGTTCTGGGGATACCCACTCGAGGGGTGTCACCACCGCCACCGACGACGGGAGCATGATATCTCGTTTCCAGGGAGCCTGGCGTCGAACTCCCAGCCCCAAGCAGTTTTTCGATGGCGCCAGCCAGTCAGTTGTTGCCGGGGTGGCTGCTGCCGGTGCTATGGTTGGGGGCGCGTTATCATCCATCCGTGAAGAGGGAGGAGGCGAGTATGACGATCATGACCAGCACCAGCACCAGCACCAGCAGCAGGCGAGCGAGGAGTTTGCGACTCAACGCGGACCGGACGTATCACACCAGGTTCAACCTGTTCCTGGCGCATTGCTGACTGATGCTGCGCTTACCTCTCAGTTACGTCAAGGGTCGAAAAAGGTCAAGACGGTGGCCATCGTGGTGTCTTCCGTTTTGCCTGATGGCGATATCGACGAGCAGGCCTCAGGTCACGCTGTAAGAATATCATTCTCATGCTGTTAATTCGCCAATGCCACTGCTGACAGATACCATTATAGTCAATTCTGGCGCATCTACCCGAGTACATCGAGCCCGAAAAATCTCGCATCTTCGTCCTCATATATGCGCCGGGTGTGCAGCCATCTGCTGCCATAGGGCAATCTAGGCCAACCCTGTCAATCACATCTTCTTACTCCAACATTGCGTCTGAGGAGGGAACCGGCGCAGAGTCTAGCGAGCTTGTGCCCTTGACTGCCGTTGACCCTGACCCAATCACATCGGACGAACCCAAGCACCCTTCCTCCCTCTACTATACCCTTTACGCTCAGGCACAGGCGCTCGTGGATAATGAAACGATGATCATGCCTTTTAGCACTCCAGGTGGCCACATTTACATCCTTCGCCACCTCTCTCCTGAAATCGTGTATATCCAAGAGAGCCTAGCTGGCAACGACGGAGAAAGTGTCAACCAGATTTCAGGTTGGGTCCGTCAGGTTGTTGTCGTCATTGGCGACGAAGGTGGACGAGGTGGCCTCATGGATAGTGACGATGAATCCGCCCTTGTAGATAAGGGAGAACGATGGTGGCAGAAAGAAGGCGTCACCGGGCTCGGTAAACGAATCACTGTCGTTGATGGAGTTAGAATTGGCGAAGAGTGGAAACGACGAGTTTGTGGTCACGAATGATTCTGGTATTGACGAAGGGTGGTATATTTTTCTCTCGGTTCTGCGGCGTTTATCTTCTGCGATATATCATTTTGGCTTTTTGATTTTTCTTTCTCTCTTAACAACATAAACCCTTTTTTTCAGAGTCCTCCGAAGAGCCCTCGCATGAATTTGAGCAGCGCATATCACGTAGCATGCGTCCCAGTAAAATCATCTGGAGAGGAGCCTCTTTTAATGCGTTTAGCAGCTATCTACTAGCTATCTATCTATTTATAATTGGTTCAACGACAATATTCTCCCCTACCAGACATCCATACTGATTGATACATAGATATGTCATCCGTCACTGACGCCGGAGATACTCATGCGCATTCATACCATGCACCAGGTCACTAAGGACGAAGAGACGGGTGGATGACCTCAAACAGGAATGCTAGCATATTCCAGCATTGAGTACCAGATATCTAGCCTCCTTGCCGACCACTTCACTCTCCGGCTCATTTGAAGCTATTTTTCAAGCAAGGAAAATATGATATTGAAGGACCTTATAACAGTTCTAGCCAACCCGGGCGTATATGTAGAATTGTCTAATTATACATCTGCGTTAAGGGATAAACCACACTAAAAGGGGAATAAACCCAACTCCAAACCCCAACCCGAAAAACCAGAAAAGAAGAAAATTAAAATGAAACTCCTCCCGTGCGGTCGATTAGACTGAGCCAGAGCCTTGGCCTGGCGCAGCGATTGAGCAGATTTGGTCTATGAAAGGGAGGGTCAATTGACCCTTTGGAAGCTCTTCATAGCACTTGCAGGCCTGTTATGAGAAGTAGACTGTTAGAAGCTTGCTAGTGGACATATATCTCTAACGTCGGGAAAGTGAACGACATACAGTTGGAACATTAGTTCTAGCACAGATGAGGATCTGGACCAAATCACCCTTGGCCGCGCAAGAGGCAATAGAACGCACTAATTTCTCACAATCCGGCGCAGAACCAAGACTGGGGAGGCTGGGAATGCCTGGGATAGTTGGAGTGCCACCACTGGGAGATCCGGGGAAGCTAGGAAGGCCGGCAGCATTACCAGAGCTAGAGCTAGAGCCAGTCCTTCCCTGTGATGTGCTGTTGGCCGGAGCAGCAATGGCTGCTCCAGCCATGAAGGCAGAGAGGATAACAGCCTTGAATTGCATCTCAACGGGCTGCCCTTGATCACAGAAGGGTTTGAAGGGGGTATAGAAGGATTAAAAGGCTGACTGCTGTGTGCGGATGTGACTGAGGGGTTGGAAGAGAGAATGACTGGCTTCGAGGATCCTGAGGCCCTTTTATGCCATTCCTTTGACGACTCTGTGTCTATGTACGGAGCATGCAGTTGACTTCTTACTGCAATGCACCAACCAGCTCTGACCTCCAATACACGGCCCGAATATCCCTCAAATCCGGCATCCACATAGCGCTATAAAGGAGTTATATTCACATGTCTGACAGGTGATGGACGTGGTTGATCTCTGGATTGTCATATTGTTCCTGACATTGGTTGAGCCTATCCCCAGCGCCATGTTCGGGCATTCTTTAAGTTGCATCAAGTCAATTGGCTCAACCAGATGCTCCCCAGAGTTCCAACCGTCAACCATAGATGGCCTAGCTGATTATATTAAGCCTGGCTTTCTGCGGAGTGCTGGGAGGGGTATGCCAGTTCCGGCGGTTATGGTCGAAAGATGTGTCAAATTTGAGTTTGCGCGGCAAAAAGGGGCTCTGCAGATATGGAGCTGCAGATATCAACCATCCATGGAACGGATTATTCCCCTGCAATCACGGCTGTTTCTTCGGCTAACTAATTTGGCGTCTTATCAGAGGGGCCGCGTAGCCATGGAGGGTGCATGAAAGCCGATATCTTCCTCTCTCTCCACAGTGACAGCCTCACCCAGGGGAGAAACAGGGCACATTCTTGGCCATGGTTAGTTATAAGAAACCTAAGTACATATGAAGTCAAAGCCAAGGTCCCATACGGTCCAAATTGCATTGCCACGGAACTGCAGAAATTGCAATTTGTCGCTGATTTTCATGTGAAGCTCCGTTTTTCGATGTGAAGCGTCCTTGAACAGGCATCTTGATAAACGGCAGCCCTTCCAGGCAGGGAATACAAGGTATCACCAATGGCCCGAGGAAGATGGTCGTATACTCTCTGGCTTGTGAGGCAGCAGGTTTGATCGTCATTATATGCAGAAAGTGGAACGGCTCGCCCGTATAACTATTCGATATGCTGTCCTCTTATCACCCGCGCCGCTCGAGCGAGAAAGCCATGTAGTTATGCTTTCGGAAAACGGCATCGGGGAATTTCTCGCGTTGGGCAGTTTGTGATATCCCTTGCCCTTCGCATTCTCATTCATATTGCTATCAACTCTTGGTGGTGACGGTTTGCCTAATCTGCCGGTCTGCCAGCCAAATCGAGTTTGAATTGTTGGGGCAAAAGTATTCGACAACTATGTTGGCGCCCTGATCCGTCATTACCAGAGATAATTTACTCCCTAGACCATGGATGGCCCCTTACTTTCCACTATCAACCAAACAACAATGTTGCCCCATCTTTACGAGAGGCAGCCCTTTTTCCTGGCCGTGAACATTCGAGGTTCCTGATAATGTCCCGGCTAAGGGCAGGGATGAGCTTTTAATACGGTAAATTAAGGTTAATCCCGAGATAGCTGTCTTAATATCCTTGTTGCATCGATTTTTATCAGAATATGACTACAAGATATAGGACGGGATATCTTAAACACACGTCAACATTCTTAACCGAGTTGATCATTCCAAGTTCCGTCTTATTTCCAATGTCAATGTCGCATACCTTGCCCAGGTTACTCCAACACAAACCTCATGTCCAGGCGCAAGTTATCACAGCTCTTGGACCCAACTGCCGGATTCTAGTGAAGAAAAGTGCTTAAAGTTACCCCAGTGAACTTCTGGATTATTTCGCATGTATCAGAGCTACGAAATTGGTTAGATTGAGCCATCAAAATCGTTAAGAGGGGTTTCGCAATTTTTAGCTGGAAATAAGCCAGCGTCTTCTGCAATTGGAGGGAAATCCTGACTACGTGGGATTAGGGGGCGTTGAACTCGTGGTAACAGGCCTGGTCCGAGCTGATGGAGTCCCTTGGAGAATGCCGCAGACATGGCAGTAATGGAGTCGCAAGTATCACCCAGTCTCATTTGATACCAAGCTACACAGTTACTCACTGCACTGCTCTGAACCGGTGAAGGCCTAGTGGTTGCTGTTGGTGGCTGAGGCAAATTTCTGTGAGAGAACGCTCCAGTGCAGTACCGATAATCCGCCTAGAGACTAGAGCAACCTTTCCTTAGCTCTGGATTTCAGCTTAGAAACTATTGTCTGGTAATATACCCGACATCAGAAATGACCTTGGAGCATGTATCTCCCTATTTATTGCTCAAGAACTTGCTTATTAATGTATTTGATACCAAGTGTTCGTTACGGATAGGATCACCTACAGGCCTTGCATGATAGAACTTTTGACAGTTAGGAGCTAATCTAGGCTGCGCTGGAGAGGCTGTGAACTCGACTGTGTCAATAGTAATCGACGTTGGCGTGTACCGTGTGGGTTCTGGAAGGGAGACAGATATTGTTCCAACGGGATAGAAGAGACTCAGGGAAGTTCTGGGTTGGATTCCAACACAAACCCACCAGCCAATGTAAAGGCCTGAGCAATCATCTCCAAGCTCGGTATTCCACGGATGGCTTTTTTTTATATAAGAATGCTGCATTAGCATCCTAATATCCCTGAGAAAGAAAGCCTGTGGCAACTAACTTACAGCTCCTCAAGTGTCATAGTTGACCCATGAAGGGTGCAGATGGTGCGGCACGTATCTCCCGCCCTGACTAGATACCACTTATTGCAGTGTGAAGGCTGCCCAGGCTGTGTCCTCTTAGGCGGCCATGCTGTTTCTACCGGCGAAAAAGTCAACTTATGCGAAGTAACTGGATTTCTGATCGAATATGTTGTTGGGCTGGTAGCCTTGCTCAAGGTCTTTCTCCCCATGCTTGTCTCTGCTGGCGTTGTAGTTGTGACTGGATTTCTCCCAACTCCAACGCAGTATGAATAGCCATACCAGAAATCCCGAGAACAGTCCTTTGGAACTAACGGATTCCACTCCAGGAACTGATTGTGTGAGATTCCATGGGCTCTTTCAACTCTGGAGCATGTGTCTCCCTCCTCGACAGTATGCCATTTGTTGCAGTTACGGGAAATCCTGGGTTTTGTAGGCCCAACAGGAGACGATTCGGCTGATCTGATGGACTCAAGGCTGGATCGAGGCTGGGATACAGACTCTTTCCCCAGGACAATATACGCGATGACGGTGAAAACGAGGCAACTCATCTCAGCAAATGGTTACGACACGCTGTACTTTCCTCCCTACGTCTGAACGGGCGAGAGAGGGTACGGCCCCTTTTCACTCTAGTTGCGCCTTTGCTTGTGGTATTCCTCATTCTAACGCTGTATAAGGTGATCTAATGATACAATCATCTATCGGGTCCTACCCTTGCTATATTCAACAAAGATACGACGAATAGTTTCACAAGCGGTCGCCTATAGCCATCGCGGCTCCACGTCAAGGCAGGCCCCTGTCGCTGTCATTTTGTATTAAAGAAACAATTATTCTACAAATAATTTTCTTCTATTTTCAGCACATAATAATTGAAAGCAGACATACCATTTCGGCAAGAAGCGGACTTTTACGCTGTTCAGCGATTAAATGATAACTCCATATGATAGTATCTATCACGACTGCGATTGTGTCCGCTTTACGCTAGTTAATTCAATAGATACCCTCTGGTGGTATCCCAAACGAGGAGAATTATTGCGGCCTTTAGGTCAAATGTAGTACGCTCTTATAACTGACATTTGTTCCCCGGGTAATTGGAAAGACAGAGAAGATTTCAGAGACGAAGTCGAACACCGGAAATATGAGATTATACAAAACTTGGATTTGTGTTTCTCTAGAGTTGATGCACGTTGCTCTGCTGACATTCTTTGCCTTTACCCAGTCTAGCCCTGCTGTCACCAATGGCAGCAAGACTTTGACAAGTAGCAACAATGAATACACCTGCACAGCGACCAAAAATGCAAAATAGGGTGTTGTGGCCCTCTGTAAGTAAGCTACTGGATGAATCGGTTTGGCATAGTTTCATACTGATTTAATTATTAAGAGATCGTAACGGCAACCTAGTAAACAAGAGGATTTCAAAAATTTGTTACCTTTCTGAGGAGACTCAGGTAGTGACTAAATTAGACTGGAAATTCGGTCCTTCAATTACGCTGGTAGGTTTAGCATTTCTTTGGAGGAAGCCCCAGCTAGCCAGCGTCCTATTGGTACCTCCGGGGCTCTGACATTGTGAGCCTAGAGCAATATGTAGATTGATTCAATGTTATGACATATGATATTCGTAAGTCCCTCCTGGATGACACTTATCTATATCTTGTCAATTAGTTACTCGAGAACCTGACTGTTTGACCTTACAGACGGGACGTGGGATTCTGGGGCCAAGTCTATGCCCGTATGCATACGCTCATACAAATCTCACCGAAATTAATCTAGCCCTAGAACTTCTCTGGCGTAACAATATTAACCCAGCTCGCGTGGTAATGGGTCTGGGATTTTACGGCCGTAGTTTCACAATGGACCAGAATTGCCTGAGTCCTGGCTGAGGCGCGTGGAGGTGAATGCACATGGACCCCAGGTGTTCTATCAGCTAGCGAGATCAAGGAGATTATTGCGGATGGCGCAGTCATCGAATTAAACACTGAGGCAGCTGCAAAAATTATCACGTAGGATAAAGACTAGTAGGTTAGCTAGAATGACGAGCAGACTTTAAGGATTAAGATGAATTATGTTAATCGACGCTGCGTTGGGGGGGGTTAAGATCTGGGCTATCGATCTAGATGCTGGGACACTGATAGATGCTCTGGGAGCTGCCATGAACAGTACGAAAAAGGAGGTCTCAAAGGTGCCGCCATCATTTTTAGGATCAGACTTGGGCATTGTTTGGCAAACCCACGTACTGAGGTTTTGCCCGGGCCCCTGACCCCCCAGGCTGCCCTGAGGACGGCGGCTTTGACTGGACATTTGGATTTGGTCTGCCAGACAGGTGGAGAATATTCTTCCATCCAAATGAAAAGGGTCACGAGACAATCAGCTCATTTACACTCGAGACGATAGTATATATGCGCTCGAAGCAGTTGGGGCTGCTGAAGGACTTTTGTTCTGCTAAATCTGTCTTCAGGTGTTGGCAAAAAGAAGGCCGCAAAGCATATGCAAGCGTAGACCGGCTGAATGAGAACTATAAAACGTTCTGCAAAGGTATCAAGGCGCCTGGGAACACAATCAACTGGAGCAAGTCCCAGAAATTTCATCCGGGGACACCGGGCGAGCACACATTTGAGTTGAAGCTATCAAACGATACTAGAGAATTTGTGAAAGAAGATTGGTTGTCCTCATTTGATCGGATAATAAACGGGTGCGACAGCAACGATATTAATAATCCAATGAACTGGAAATTTGGTGGGAGGTGGGCGAAGGGGAGTTATGTGCATGAAATTAACATCAAACGAGAGAATAGACCGTGGCCACTGACCAAGAAACCGCATGGGCGATGCGGGGGGTGGTTCAAGGTCCTTTATTCGGATTATACGCTTCGGGGTGTCGGCTGGTCTACTCATGATTCAGGAGAGCAGACCATTCTCCCAACTTCAAAGGCTTGCCTAGGGTTAGGAATAACCAGGTTCAGGTTCAAATACTATGATGAGCCGGACGAGGATGGCATGGAATGGGGCTTGACTTTCCGTACTCCTATATTTGTTCGGGCAAGGTGCTTCGGCAACAATAGGGTTGCATTTGCATCAGGCGGCTTCACCGGTGGGTGTGGTGGTAACGATTAGTCGGTTCTTTCACTTGAGCTCTTCTTCTCTTCCCCTTCACTGGTAAGAGTAGAGCTGTCATCTCGGCTCTTCGTTGAGGGCTCTCTCTCTCTCTTCCCCGGTAGATCATATCTAGTGGGTATAACCGTGGAGACCTGTATATCATCATTCAGAAGTAGCCAGGTAAACGTCTCAAATATACGTCACATCACTCCTAATCCAACAAGGGTATTTCATAGACGTTTTCATCTTTGATGTCTTCTTGATGTCTTCTTAAGCTGAAGAATCTGCTTATGTCAGTTTTATATCATGTGAGATGACTAAGCATAGAAAAGCAACGACAGCGAAAAGAAAGAAAGATCGAAATCCATGAACTTCAATGACTTCATCCTCCTGACGGGCAGCTTGTTTGACACGCCATCAGCGCTGCCTCAGTGCTATATAGTCGAGTGTGCCTCCGGACGGCCTGCGTCCCGTACCCGGACACCCGTTTTTAAAACGCCAGTTTTGCCCGTTCCGCGACACACGGCATCGCCAGAGCTGCGTCCCCTCATGTCCAGCATATCAGCCGAGCATCCAGTTCCTAGACTATCGGGCGCGTTTCTCCCCGTTCCATAACCGCCGGGCCTTGTCAGTATCCGGTGGCAGGCAGGCCGCTGCTCACTGAGCCCATGGCTACCGCCGTTTCGACCAAACCCATGGCACATCCGGGCAAGATCAAGCGGCCCCCTCCGCCAACCTTCGTACAGTCCGGCGCCAGCGGTTCCAGGCCGGCGCAAACATCTCCCTCGTCTGGCTCTGCTTCTGCGAATTGGACGGGATCTTTCAAACAGTTTGGGAACTTTTCAGCCTCGGGTACCGCCGTGAATGGCGCCAGCGGCCGGTTGGTGGCAAGGGTGAACGGAGACCCATCGCAGAGGACACAAGACCCTTCATCACGACTCCAACGTCCGTCAACTAGACGCCATGCTATGGGTAACGGCAGCGCGGATGGTAGGCATACGAAGAAACTCGTAGAGCCATATGGTGAGCAGACATTCCTTATCTATCTGTTCTGCGCGACCCTGTAGTACTGTTTGTTACAACTGCTAACTAAGTGCTACCGGCCATCTCTAGTCAAAACCACTTCCTATATCTTGAAGAAATTTGCCAAATTCCCTCCTTCGTTGACCATGCACCTTCACCCAACTCATTTCCGGTTCGATAAACAGGATGGTAGTTTCCCTTATAACTCGGAAATGAAAGTTGTTATTGAACATCTCAAGGACGGCACAGTGCCCCACGATATGATGGAAGAGCTCATCATGGGGAACGTGCGGTTTTATGATGGTAAGGACTAGCCGATATATAGTAGACTATACAAGTATACGGCTTGTCGACTAACATGCAAGATTTAGGGTGCTTGATTGTGCAGGTTATTGATCATAGGTCCCCTTCTGCTGAGCCAACTCCGGTCACCAAAGCTTCAACCGGGCAGAAACTCACTCCGTTTTCTATCCATAATTACAACGAGCATATGACCCCTTCTTCATATGTCCCGTACCCCAAACAGAACCAGGCCACCGCAAGTTCTCAACCTATTACAGGTGACCAGCCTCCTCAAGCTGCTAAATCTCCAGATTCAACGGAAGCTCCAGACACAAACAAATCTAAAGGTAAACAACCTCCTGCTGGAGAGGTCACTAACGCGGTGACTACCGGGCCAAAAGTTTTCACTACAGTCTTACATCCTACACCACGCTCCCTACAAGCCGAGCTCACACTTTTATCCACGATTCCTGACACACGAGCTCAACAACGCCGTCAATCCCAAGGCTTCAGTACCTCCCGAACTTCCACATCTACCTCCCTTACCCAACCTTCCACACCACTTTCCGCAGTTGCCCCTCCCTTGGAGCGGGGACATCCAGCAAAACGCCAAAAGATGCTAGTTGAACCTTACGAGCTTCCAGAGGTCGAGTCAAAGTTGATTCTTGCTACTGCACCCCCGCTATACCTAGATCCTGTTGACAGCTTAGAGGCTAGCCAGAACCTGCTTAAACTCTTAGAGTCACCTTTGCATTGCCACAAACCACCTTCGCCGAAGACCAGGAGACGCACTGTGGCTGAACTCGCGGCCGATGAAGCATTGGCTGCGGCGGAGGAACGATTCATGCTGATCATGGACGAGCGACTCGAACCGGCGATTTCAGGGGCCGCAAATGCAGCGAAGTCAGCGGTTGCCGATGGAGATGGCGGTGCTGTTCCATTTGAGCCTAGGTTCTCGAGATTTAAAACCATCGAAAATATGAA